GTCTCCGCGGGCTCGGACTCCCGCTGGGCCTGCGGGTCCCCGGCTGCGGCCGGCGAGTCGTGCGTCCGGGGCCCAGGTCCCAGCGGTCCTCGTGACGGTCCCGCCTCACTCACCCTCCGTCACCTCCAGCACCTTGATCTGTTCCTCCGCGGCCGCCCGCACCTCCTGCACCGGGGACAGGATCCCGGTGAGCGTATCCACCAACGCCTCCTTCAGCCCCTGTGCGACCGGACCCGGCAGCCCCGAGGCCGTACCAGCTGCTGCCGCTGCCGCCATCTTCGCCCCCCGCCCCCAGCAGCCCGCGAGCCCCGCGGCCGGGACCCGCCACTGTATGACGGCTCCCGCGTGCGGCCAATCCGCGAAGCTGCGCCTGCGCACCAGCGGACGCAGGCGCGGTGGGCGTGGCATGGGTCTAAGCCTCCTGAGACAGCGCCCCCTGCCTCCTGGAAGAGAACTGCACGTGTGTTGGCAATGATCGGTGGGTTGGGGGGAGGGTCCCAGAGAGGTCAGTGGCTTCCCCAAAGTCTCACTGTGCGTTAGCGGGCTCACTGAGAATAAAGGCCATGATATATGTTTAACTCTGCGGGCCTTTCGAAGATAAGATTCTGTGTTAAGAGAGAAGTGGGGTGGAAATGGATGTAATAGGGGACTTCAGGAGAGGGTCTGGATCAGACATAGCATCTACTTCAAATTGCCCCCACCCACTCTCACACAAAATAAATGCTCACTTTTCCTTAATTCGGGGATCTATACCACATAGAATGTTTTCCTTTTTGCTTATGTGGTGCTGAGGAATCGAACCCAGGGCCTCATACATGCAAGGCAAGCGCTTTACCACTGAGCCACCTTCCCAGCCCCACAGAATCATTTTTATGTGACTGAATCCTATTAGCTGAGAACGTTTAAGGTTCTCCCCCTCCTCCGCCCCCCGCCCCCAGAAATGGCTGGTCCTTTGAGAGGTGGGAGGATAGGAGGAGGATAAGAATAGTTTGGTATAGCTCTCTGGGGTTGGTAGTAGACAGTGGTCTACCCTATGGAGATAATACCCTCAATCCGTAGGAAAGCAGGTGAAGGGTACTGGAGCAAAGGTTTAAAACTGCAGGACAGGGGAGCAAGCCTGTAATGGCAAAGGGATGGATGTCATATGAGGTTGGAACAGAGGAACAGGCCATCTCTTGGTAAGCTGTTAAGGCTTAGTGCTTTACAAGTGGTTTCTAGTCAACACTGCTCTCATCCCCAAGTGGGAAGGAAACCAGTTTGAGCAATTCCTAGGACAGTTCCAAGACTGCTAAGTGGATAATAACTGAAGATTAAGCCGTCTCATCAGAGAATTTTTTTCCAAAATGCCTTCTTGATTTATTGTGGGGTGTGCTCTGAACACATTTGCCACCTCCCATGTGAGGAGAACAGAGGTGGTTTGTATTACTTCCATCACTCCCTGCCCCCCCTTTTTCCTACCACAACCCGTTCATAGGGAAAAGACTGCTGCTTGGGCCTGCAACTACAGAATGGAGAAGAGTTAATTTCCTTTTCCTCAGAGCCAGAAGCTGGCATATTTTCAAACTTTGTGGCATTGTGGATGGGAGGACTCAAGAACCTTGACTTTAGGACAGGGCACCTTGAATTTTGGCAGACACTCTGTCTACAATGTGCAAGGTACAACCCTCCCCCTCCCCCCACTCCTGCCCAACTCCCAACCAAAGATGTTGAGAGACTCCTGCTCAAGAATCGAGGCCCAGAGATTTCCCAAGCAGGTGAGTGCTGCTTCTGAGTTAGGCAAATGACATATGGAAGTTTCTCCTTTCGGATCAAGCAATGAGCCATAAAATAAATGGAGACAGAAACCAGACAGAGAGGGAGCTAAGAAAGCCAGTGGACAATACAGGAGATAACTTTATTGAAACGCAAATGGCATGGAACAGATGAATCTTGCTAGGAGAAGACATGCCTGATGGACAGAGGGCCCAGGGCAGGGCTCTCTATGATGATGGAGGAAGGCCTCTTCAGCTGGCCTAGGCATGAGTTTAATTTTCAACCAATTTGTTATTTAAAATGAATCACTGAGGGGACATCCCAGCTCTCTTCATGATTGTTACCGCAACTATATACATTGCTTTACTTTCCAGATTTAATTTTGCCTTTTGCACACACTGGATATAAAAGGAAGTAGGTTGAAAGAAGTGAGGGTCAAATCACTCGCGCGCGCGCACGCACACACACACACACACACATACACGCTCTGGTTTGGGTTATTTGTGTCTAATAAATTAAAAAAAATTTGTGAAAATTCCTGCCCACCCTCCACCTGAGGAGTGCCATGCTTTTGAGAAAGACTCCATTGTTTAAACAATGCTACCTAAAATAAGATGGGGAAGGAAGAAAGGAAGCTAGCAGGGCAAAATGCTTTCTTACAAACGCTTTGTTAATAACAAAATTGAACAAAAAGAACATTAGCAGTAGCCAAGAGACCAGCTGCCCTATGGACCTTTTTCCTTCTACCTTCCTTGTCAGACAAATAGCAGTGCGGCACAGGAAATGGTGGGGAGTGGGGAACCTATCTTCTGGAGATGGCTTTAGCACTATTATTTTATACTTGCCTTCCTCAGACTTTAGTCCTTTCTCCCAAGAGCCCAGTGCCAGAGCTTGGGAGACTGAGCGCTCTTGTGCTGAGCTGCACTACTCCACACAATGCTCACGGGAAAACCTGAACACACTTGAAACAAAACCAGTTCATGCTAAATGGCCTTAGTCAACTCCATGGGCTCATCTGGGAGTTGGAAAACCTATGAAGCACCTTTCAGATTATTTTTGGCAGTCATAGGGCTTGAACTTGGGCCTGGGAGCTGTCCCTGAGCTCTTCAGCTCAAGGCAAGCACTCTAGCACTTGAGCCACAGCACCAATTCGTTTTCTGGTGGTTAATGAGTTTTAAGAGTCTTATGGATGTTCCTGCCCGGGCTGGCTTTGAACCTTGATCCTCAGATCTCAACCTCCTGAGTAGCTAGGATTATAGGTTGTGTGCTGCCAGCTCCCAGCACCCTTAAGATTTTTTTTTTTTTGTCTATCGTGGGGTTTGAACTCTGGGTTTGGGTGCTGTCCCTGCACTCTTCAGCTCAAGGTGAACACTCTACCGCTTGAGCCACAGTGCCACTTCCAGTTTTCTAGTGCTTTATTGGAGATAAGAGTCTCACAGACTTTCCTGCCTGGGCTGGCTTTGAACCACAATCCTCAGATCTCAGCCTTCTGAGTAGCTAGGATTACAGGCGTGAGCCACCGGCGCCCGGCACCTTTCAGATTTTTAAAGAAAGATTTTGTTCTATTACTGTCTCTGAGTACCCAAGGTCCTGGTGTGGGGAAAGGAAAAACTAAACCTAAGGACTTACATGGCCCAGAATGATATCCTCACCGCGTGGGTGTCTCTCCTCCTATGAGCTGAGCAGACTATGGATCAGGAGTCTTCCTGGCTTACTAGAGCCCTAAAGTTATTAGCTGCCTTGTGAAAGGAGGTTCTGGTCAGATTTTCAGACCCAGCGACTCAAATAAAGGAGATAGTATATTTCTGGGAAGGTATTTTGTCATGGAAATACAAATTATATGTATATAATGTCTAGTTTTCCCATTCTATTAAATAATCAGAAAAAGGCTCAGAAAAGACAATCCAGCAGAAGAGCAATCTGGATGAAACCTCCAAACTTCTCTGTTAAAGACCCTAAGTTTAGTCAGGTAGAAATCTCAGAAATGAGATTTTTTTTCTCTGATGGCTGCCCTCACCAAAGAAAAGATGTAATCATTCCCTGAACTTCTGCCCAGAAACATGTTTCCTCGATTATATTAAAAGTAAGCAAAACAAATAAGGAAGTCTGAGAAAAGTGCCTTTCAACTTATTGTTAACATCAGACTTACAACCTAGAACCATTTTATATTGGATCCTAAGGTGCCTCAGAGATCAATACTTGTCTTTCTCTTTAAAACAGAGTCTCTCTGGGCACTGGTGGCTAATAATGTTTGTAATCCTAGCTACTTGGGAGAACGGAGATCTGAGGATCTCAGTGGATCTCAGTTCAGAGTCACACCAGGCAGGTCATGAAACTTTTTTGTTGTTGTTGGTAGTAGGGTTTGAACTTTGGGCCTGGGTGCTGTCCCCCAGCAATTCAGCTCAAGGCACGCACTATCCCACTACAATTTTCTGAGTGCTTTTTGGAGATGAGTTTCACAGACTTTCCTGCCAGGGCTGGCTTTGAACCCCTATCCTCAGATCTCAGCCTCCTGAGTAGCTAGGATTATAGGCATGAGCCACCAGTGCCCAGCTGAGACTCTTATCTCTAATCACAGAAAAAGCCAGAAGTGGAACTGTGACACAAGTGGTAGAGTGCCAGCCTTGAGTATAAAAGCTCAGAGTCAGTGCCCAGCCCCAGAGTTCAAGCCCCAGAACTGGCCAACCCTCCCTCCCCTCCATAAAACCTCAGAACAACAAAACCGGGCAGAGTCTCAAACTAGGGCATGTGTGGAATTCCCTAGGTGTTTGTAAAAATAATTGCTAGACCCCACTGCTACAATTTAGGACTCAGTAGATTTGGAGTGGGGTCTGAGATTTTTATTCATCTATTTATATTTGGTTTTTTTGGGACATGGGTCCTGGTATGTTGCCTAAGCTGACCAAACTTCTAACCTTCCTGCCTTTGCTTCCCCAGTGCTGAGATGACAGATTTGGATAACCATGCCTGGTGAGAACTTCATTTCTAACAAGCACACAGATTCTGCCATAAACAAAGGAAAGGAATTCATCTGCTTTCCTGACCTACCTCCACACAAAATTCTCCACAGCCTAATCATTAAGAAAAATGGCTAAAACATCAAACTGGGAGATTCAGTGTAAACAGGTTTATTATTGGGGTTTTGAACTCAGGACCTTCTACTTGCTATACAGCCACTCTACCATTTGACCCATACCGTTTACCCAATGAGTTTAGTTAAGTGTGTTGGTCTCCCTACAACTTCTAAAGTGTGGCTTCTTTGCTTCAAGGCTAACCAATGTAGTTAGTCTACCCTTCTTAGATCCATGGCCAGCAGTACTTAACTTGGTTCCAGAGCTCAGCTGAGCAAATGCCCACACATGTGCACTGGGCAGAGGGAAAGAGCTTCATATAGTCTTGAACAGGTTGACTGAGGACTCATGAATATATAAACCTGATGAAATGATAAAGGGCAGTGTTCTGGGGCTTTAGCCTAAAACCATCTTGTTACTACCTATGGCCTCTTCAATGGAGTCATGAAGCAGAACTTGTAAGTAGGTGCTACTGTCCTAATAAGAGGGTACCTGCATTCCAGCAGCACATCCATCACAAGTAAGTAAACCTTCAGCAGAAGCACATTTTTCATTCTGGCATGGGGATTGGCTTATGGGGTCTACTATTAACTTTGGGCTTAGCTAATGCTCAGGATTAAGGAAAAGAAAGGATCAAGCATGATGTGGTACTATAATTGACTTACTACAGCACTTGAACCCTGGGTTAAATGTGTGATGACCACAACTCTTTTGCTACTGAACACCTTGTAATAAAGGTTCTGTGGAAGTATCTCTTTGATCCTGGTTTTAGGTCTGAGTCCTCCTCAATTAGGCAAATGTCACCTAAGTGCTGGGCTGCTATGCATAGATGCTGTCTCAGGCGATGATGGGAAGTGTTGGTAAGACACAGCAGCTTCTCATCCTATGCCTTGGAATATTACAGGTGATTGAGTTACTTCTCAGACCACTGGAAAGAAATATCATGTTGAGTAGTGTGACTTGTTTCAAGGAGCTAGAAGAAGTGACTTGATCATATCTACTTAGGACTTTTGGAAACAAGAAAAAACTGGAAGGCACAACATGAAAGGAGGAAAAAATCAGTATTTTGTCTTAAATCCTTCAGTACAGAGAAGTTGGTTGGAAAGTCAGTCATTCAAGACCAAAATATGGTATACCAATCAAGAAGGACTTCCTTCTAGGGTCTCTCTATAGATATTTAGCTAGCTATTCTTCCTTGCTAGCCTCTACCTTCCCAATGGTTAGACTATAAGAAACACACTGGTAGAAGGATTTGCACAGAGATAAGCACCGTAGAGTTGCCACATAGCAAAAATTTTCTAAAAGTACTCTATGAAGCCCCAGAAGATAGGAAACAGCAAACTGTTCATGTGTATGAGTGATAAACAGAAACAGTCTCTTTCTCTCTCTCTCTCTCTCTTTCTCACACACACACACACACACACACAGACACACACACACAGACACACACACACACACACACACACACACACACACACACACAGACATCAGGTCCCTTATAGCTTTCCAATTACCTAGTATTTTATTTTAGCGCCTAGGTAGAGTCTGAGAAACAAATACACTGGACAGATGTTCTTGCTCTTTCTCATCCAGACATGAGAACTCTGCTCAGGAGTCTCTCCTGGACTGATGGCTCCCCCGATAGGCTGATGTTGGGTACTGAACCATGTTCTTTATGAGACAACTTTGGTGAAGGATGGAACTGAGGGATGGGGTAGGGATGCAGGGGAAAAAAATAGCACAGATTCCAGAATTAGATAGGCGGGATTCTTCTGAGGGTGCCTGGTGGGGGAGGTGTTAAGAATTTAGCTATGGAGCCCAGTAGTTTTCTTTTTTGAGGGATCCTAGAAGAAATCTCAACAAAGAAGCAGGTGCGAAAGTAAGAATGCCATGGATTTGTTCCTTGCCATGAAGTGTAGGGCAATGAGGGGAGCTCAGGTCTACTGCTGCAGTAAAGAATGGACGAGCATCCCAAGGGGTTGTTATAGCACCATGAGGAAGCTCATCCATCTATTCTTGCCATGTATCCATGATTCTTTTGTGAGATGACTGATTCCCCACAGTGAAGGGCCCAGATATGCTACTGAAAATGGGGTCTAGGCTCCAGGGGGAGAAGCTTGAGGCATCAATAACACTTCACTAGATGAAAACATACTTTCTGCAAGAAAGCAATTTAGAGACCTGGGCTAAATGTAGCAGTCAACTGAGAGTAGAAGGTGGTAGATCCCAGGAATAGAAACGAAGTCAAAATCAGGGGAGGCCTCCAGAATCAACCTGCTGAGGATGCAAATAAAATTCATGGTGGTATCCATGGTTATCAGAAAGACAAGAATCTCTCTGCGGTCTGAGGCAGTTAGAATGGAAGAAGGGGCTTTCCCTTCTCTCTCTCTCTCTTTTTTCTCAAGTAGCCAGTAACATTGATGGCAGAAGGCACTGGCTGGGCAGCACCAGGAAATAAGAGAGTTAAGGACTCAGCCATCAGGTTAAGATGACATTTGAAGTCTGAGCCTTGCCCTAGGACTGGAGCTTCAGAAAGGGTTCAGTAGAGGCCTAGCTAGGTCCAAAGTAGGACTGTCCGATCTTCTCTTCCTTTTATGTTACAACAGCCAACTCTGGGCCTCCTCATTCTGCACAGCAGAGACCTTAAGGCAGTGATTTCAGCACCATCCTTGAACGAACAGCCTCTTTCCACCACAGAATTGCATATTTTACAGCTGAATCGGTTGGGGATCTTCACAGTTCATGGAATTAGCAGCAATAGCAATAATAGTCTCCAGCACAGAGGACCCTGTCATACCTGGAAGCTACCAGATGAATACAGAAGCTTTGCAGAGTGGGGGGAAGGGCAGTTTAGACCATCTTGAGGGACAAGATGCATGTACTCCCTGATGGGGGCAGAACAGCGATCCAAAGTTCTGCTGATAGATTCTGAGAGTCTTGTGCTACTTAGGACTTTGAGACTCTAAAGAGCAAATGCTTAGGCCCAGGCTTATCCACATATCCCTGATCTACACAGCCCTGAAACTGTATAGCCCAGCAGGCAGCTCAGTCTGGAATCTGGTCCCAGAGGGCTTCCAGAAATGGCAGGAAGTAGACTTGCCCACCCCCAGACAAGCAAGATTCCATTGTCTGCCAGGTTCCACTTCATCGATCCCAGATCTTCTGGCCCTTGTTGTATAGGAACATCTAATCACAGATGTCTTCTCAGTTTACTCCTTAGATTTTAGATACATTTCTTTGATGGTCAGGAAGGTCCAGATAATAAAATTGTGAATGTAAGGGTACAAGTCTTGCCTTTTTTTCCTCCCACACTGCTCCTTTTAAGTATTCAGTTAAGTAATTGTCAAATGAAGGAACATGGACTGACAGATCTCTAGGTCAATAGGAAGAGGGCAACTTCTGCCAGAGTTGCCCATCTCTCTAGAAAGCAGACATTGGCCTCCAAATCAAGCTGCTCAAGACTTACATTCAGACATAAATGTCCAGTCTCTTATATGTAAATATTCACTGTCAAAAACAAACAAGAAGGGGCCAGATAGGGAATTTTGACTTACTCAGGCCAAGTGGCCACTATCCAAACAGAGGGAGCCAAACAGACCACAAGGCAGATGAGTATTTCTAATTTCCTCGGTTTCCTCCAGGCCTTGATGAAGTTCAGAGTAGATCTGCTGTCATGTCTGGGTTTGGCAATTGAGCTTCCAGGTAGAACATTTGCTTTCTCCAAAGTAGAGTCAAGGGAGGTGAATTCCTCTCTCTTGGTATTTCTGGTCCAACATTTCTTGTCTCTCTCATATCTTTGATACCTCAAGGATGCCAACGGTAGTAGATGGCAGGTATGAGGCTGGTGTCAATCGGATGGCATTGGGTTCAGCAAAGGAAACCCACATGGAAAAGCCAAATTAGCCCCTGGCAAAACAACCCAAGAATCTCATAGACATGTGAGGAAATGGGGGGAGGGAGGAAAATAAATAGGCAAGTGGTAGGAAAAATATATAAAGAAAATTAAAAAATTAAAAAGTAGGGTTTATTGATTCTCATGCATGTTAAATTAGAGGGCAGAAAGACAGAGCTAGTAGTCTTTCTCTGAAGGCTGAAATGTTACTTTTGTAGTACGGTGACTTCTTTGATTGGCAGCTGTCTTGTCAATGTCCCCTGATGTCATCTAGAAGGTGAGAGCTAACAGCTCTCTTTTCTACCTTGGCAACTGGGCCTCTATTCTCCAGCTTCATCATTTCCATTGCCTTTTACCTTTTACAGGTTGATTTACATTTTTTTTAACCACATGCTTCTTTTCTGGGCAAGGGCCAGATCTCTGGGGGAAAGATTGTTGGCAGTGGTGATGGACTTGGGAAGGATCTGCATAAGTCTGCAGAACTTCCTGCCTCCCTCAGATTTCCCCACACGTGACTGTCTCAGAGTTGCTCCTGAGAATCAGTTAGGAACTGCTACAGTTTTTTGTTTGTTTTGATATCTTCTGAACCCCTCCCCAGAAAGTACAGGAGTTTGTAGTTGAAACAAGAAATCAAGGAAAAGACCTAGATTCATCTTTTGCCCCAATCATCATGAGAAGTCCAGTAAATTTATCCAGGGGACACAAGTTTCCAAACTCCACCCCATGAATTTCTACTAAGAAGTTCTCAAAGGTGCAGCACCAAGAACCTGCTCTTCTGCCTGCCCTCCTCCTCCCTCTGCTCTCCTGTGGGGCTGGAGAGCTAGTGCTCTGAGAGAAGAGGGGAGAGGAGGAGCTAATGAAGCTGATGCCAGCCTTCTGCTGTCTGGGGTGACAGACTGCAAGACTCTCAGAGAGTTGCCTGGAGGTTGGGGTCCAGGATGGTTTCACGATCTGGAGATTCAATGTAGTTGGCAGCTTCTTGAAGTTTCAGCAACATGGCCATCTAAAGAGGAGCAAAGAGATGAGTTAATGACAGCTGGGATCCTGGGTCCTGATCACAGAAGAGAAACATAAAACAGCTTAGATTAGATGTCTGCTCTTTGGTTTTTAAGCAAGTATCAGCTTGGAGTTGAGGTGATTCACAAAATGGCAGTGACAATTGCTTCAATCTTGTGTGTAAAAGGTGTCACTTGGGAATATCTCTGTAATACAAAGCACCATGTGGGATGTGGGGTGGGGATACCCAGAACTGCAAGACCACCTCTGCTGCTTTCATTCTGTAAGGGGACTGAGCCCTGCGCAAAGCAGCTCATATTGGGAGGAATGGAAGAAATCTGTCTCTAACAGCTAGACTCCAGGCTATCATAAACCTGTTTCTCCCCAGTTCACAAACCTTCCATCAAACCTAAATACCAGCCAGACACCAATGGCTCCTGCCTATAATCCTAGCTACTCAGGAGGCTGAGATCAGAAGCTCACACCTGTAATCCCAGCTATTCAGAAGGCTGAGATCCAAGGCTCACAGTTTAAAGCCAGCTCGGACAAAAAAGTCCATGGTAGTCTCTCTCTCTCTCTCGCTGGTCCTGAGGCTTGAACTCAGGGCCTGGGCACTGTCCTTGAGCCTCTCTGTGCTCAAGGGTAGCCTCTCTGTGCTCTGCCATTTGAGCCACAGCACCACTTCCAGCTTTTTCTATGTATGTGGTACTGAGGAATTGAACCCAGGGCTTCATGCATGCTAGGCGAGCACTGTACTGCTGAGCCACATTCTCAGCCCTAGTCCATGATATTCTTATCTATAATTAATCAGCAAAAAGTCAGAAATGGAGGTGTGGCCCAAGTGGTAGAGCACCAGCCTTGAGCAAAAAAAGCCAAGCCTTGAGTTCAAGTCCTCCTTTGGACACACACACACACACACACACAAAGTCCTCCTTTGGACACACACACACACACACACACACACACTTACTTCTGTAATACTTGCCTTTTGATATCAGAATGCCTTTTACTCACCAGAGGGTCTGAGTCTAGAGAACCTGGGGTGCTGTCTTTGACAGTCCTGTCTTCTGGAGGAGAGGCAATGCTGTGGGGGCCCACGGTGGGTGGGGGAAGGTGGTAAAGCTTTGATTGGTCTTGTTGAGCTGATGGCCAAGGAAGAGTGTCCCGGACCCACTCCACGGGATCCTCCCAAGCAGCTTTCTGTCCATGGACCTGGGAAGCAGAAGTGTGTGATTAGCGGGTGGGCACCCCCTGGTTAGACATCTCAGGCCAAACGTTCCTACAAATATCCAGAAAACTGTCCCTCCTCAGGTGCAAAGACAAGAGGCTCTGATCGCTGTGGAACTTTCAACAAGGAAAATAAGTTGGTATTAACTGGCAAAAATAATTCTGCAGGATAATTTAAAAGAGCTGATAAAACTTCAAAAATCTGAGCAATGTTCCCAGCCTTAAATAATATTTCTGCTGGGTGCTGGTGGCTCACATTTGTAATCCTATCTACGCAGGAGGCAGAGATCTAAGTATCACAGTTCAAAGCCAGCCTGGGTAGGAAAGTCCGTGAGACTTTTACCTCGAATTAACTATCAAAAAGCCAACAGTGGAGCTGTGACTTAAGTGGCAGAGCACTTACTCAAGTGGTAAAGCCTTGAGCAAAAAAGCTCCGGGACAGTGTCCAGAACCTGAGTTCAAGTCCCAGGACCCACACCAAACAAACAACCAAAAAAAAAAACACCCCAAACCTTAACTCGTACCAATCCGATGACCCTGCAATTTTGCTTTTTAAGCAGAAATTCTATTTTAAACATAGTACCTTTTATTTTTGTTTAACTTTAATGAATAAAAGATGTTATCCATTTTCAGATAGCCTGATAAATGGCATCTATAGAAATTTACTCTGTCAGGAAGTATCTATGTCAGTAACAAAATACTTTCATGGATGACACATGGCTACTAAGGACCAGTCACTGCAACAAAGCTGTAATCCCAGCTACTCAGGAGTCTGAGAGCCAAGGTTTCACAGCATTCAGACTTCAGCGTGCTGTTATACAGTGGAGTGATTATAAGTAACAATAAAGTATATTTGAAAAAACTAGAAGAGGGCTAGGAATGTGGCTTAGTGGTGGAGTGCTTGCCTAGCATGCATGAGCCCTGTGTTCTATTCCTCAGTATTACATAAACAGAAAAAGCCAGAAGTGGTGCTGTGGCTCAAATGGTAGAGTGCTAGCCTTGAGCAAAAGAAGCCCAGGGACTATGCCCAGGCCCTGAGTTCAAGTCCCAGGGCCAGAAAAAAAAAAGCTGGAAGGATTTTTGAATGTTTTTTAACATAAAGAAATGATGTTTGAGGAGGAATGTTTAGCACAGTGTATACATGTATTCAAATATCACATAGCATCTCATGATATATAATTCTCTTTTTTTTTTTTCCTTTTCCAGTACCATGTTTACACTCAGGGCCTGGTGTTCTCTTGGCTAGCTAGACATGGCAGGTGCTCTATCACTTGGGCTATGCCTCCAAGTTTTTGCTGGTTAATTGGAGATAGAGCCTCAGGGACTTTTTTGTCTGGCTGCCGGGACTGGCTTTGAACAGTGTTCCTCCAGATTTGAGCTTCTAGAGTTGCTAGGGTTATAGGTATAAGACGCCAACACCTGATTCCATTGACATAATTTTTTACTATCAATTTAAAATATACTTAATAATAAATGTCTTTCTTTTTGAAATGGAGTCTCGCTATGTTGCCTAGGCTAATCTTGAACTCATAAGCACAATGTATCCTGTCTCAGCTTCCCAAGTAGCTAAAGAAAGTGGAGCTGTGGCTCAACTGGCAAAGTGCTAACTAGCCTTGAGCAAAAAGCTCAGAAATGGTGTCCAGATCCTAAGTTCAAGCCCCAGGACTGGCATACCAAAAAAAGTCTCTTCAGGGCTGGTGTGTATAGCTCAGGTAGTAGGGTCCCTGTTTAGCAAGGTTGAGGTCCTCTGTTCAAACTCTAGTATATCCCAAATAAATACATTCATATATTTTATTTTGTCTTCCAAATAACACAGTGCTTTAGTTAGAACAGAATTTATCACCCCTTCTTACATTAAAAACTGTTTAACTTTGGCCAAGGTAACTCATTTATCAGAAGTCAGTAAGTAGCTAAGAGATAATTAGGTTTTCCTTCATTTTCAGCTTATTTTAGTATTTGCTATCGCCCTAACAGAGTGGCTTTAATTGAACTTAGGCTTGGAGAGAACATTCCAGAGGCAGAACTGCTGAGTGGAAAGCAGCCTCACCTATCTCATGCCTTGCTCTACTTTTTATTTATTTATTTATGTATTTATTTATTTTTTAAAAGAAAATGAGCCTATCTAATCCCAGTAAGTTCCATGCTTTAGATTCAAAATTGTTTCTACTTTGTTAGCCATGACAGCCTGATCTTGGGCTTGGCGTGGAGTCAGAGAGGAGGGCTCACCTTGATCCCATCCTTGGCTCCTTCCTGTAGGTAGGGAATGATAGAGTTGTTCCATAGGTCAATGAACCAGGTCCGGAAGTCCTCGATGCCAATGGGACAGGATAAGAAGAAGCAAGGGCCTAGGGAAGAGCAGAAAGCCAAGATGAAGGCTGAGAAGATTCCATCTCCCCAGTCTTGTGCCTCTCTTACACCTTAGTACCAGGCAGAGGGTGGGCTATACAAAGCAGCAGAGGGAACGGGAAGTGGTGAAGACCCCTGGGTGCTGACTGCCTGGTGTCTATGATCCCGCACAAGCAGAAGCGAGTCTAGGGAGTAGGCAAGCTTCTTAATTCCCTCCTTTATCTCATTAATCACATGTGAAAACGAGGGAGGGATTAGAGTCCTTCCACCCCAACTACCCCCACCACCTCCAGGGCCTTGGAGATGTTAGGCAAGCACTCTACTACTGACCTTCAGCCCTAGCCCATTTCTTCTTTTTCTTGTTTTGTGGTACTAAGTTTTGAACTCAGGACCACCCATTTGTTAGGCAGGTGCTCTAATACTTAAGCCATACCTCCCAGCTCTTTTTTGCATTTACCTCTTTTTCATATAGAGCCTCACATTTTTGCCTGGGGCTGGCTTCAGACTGAGACCCTCCTACGTCTGTCTTTTGCATGACTGGGTCCACGATATACACCAACAGGATGGGCTTGTTGATTGTGACAGCCAAGAGTTCATTGCTACCTTTCTGCCTGGGTTGGCCCCAAACAACGAGCCCCTTGATCCCAAGCAGGTTATAGGCATGCACCACTGCACCCATCTCCTCCTCTTCCTCCTTTTTTTCATATGGAGGTGTCTCCTTATGCTGACTCTGAAATAATCAGCTCAAGTGCTTCTCCCATCTCAGTCTCCCACATAGCACTACAGGGGTGAGCCTGGATATAGCTTTCTGATGGCTGAAGTGATTTTCCCAATTCCAGCTATGTTAAAAAAGCACCTTAAACCTGGGTGCCAGTGGCTTACACCTAGCGATACAAGAGGCTGAGATCTGAGGATGGTTCAAAGCCAGCCTAGGCAGACTGTGAGATTCTTATCTCCACCACCAAAAAGGGGGGAGAGGGGGAGCGGGAGCCAGTCATGAAGTTAAGCTGTGGTTCAAGTGGTAGAGTGCCAGCCTTGAGCAAAATAAGCTAAGGGACAGAACCATATAGGCCTTGAGTTCATGTTAAGTACTTAAGTATTTTCAGGTCCAAAGCCCCAAGGCTTGCAGTCTTGGTAAGCAAAGGGAGCAGTCCTCCCGAGGGCTGGGCCCCAGTACCTATGAGGAAGTCCGAGGTGCTGTGCTTCTCTAGGAAGGTGTGGAGGTGATACCACAGCTTGGGCACCCAGTCCAGCACCCGGAGCAGCTCTTCCTTGTTGGCATTGATGTCGCTGTCAGACTCTACCAACTTCCTCCGCAGATAACGGACCAGGAAGCCATTGGCGGGCTCCACATTGTTAGAGAAGGTTAGCATCCTGCCAGCGATGGGGAGAGTGGGGTCAGAGCAGCCGTGGGCTCAGTGCCGGGGTTTACCTCCTGCCAGTCAATCCCTCCCCCCGCCTGCCTCCCCACTAATGACCACTTGGCTTCTTCTCAAGTAATAATGAAGGACAACTGAGTTCAGGACAGCAGCCCTGGGCAGACTGAGCTGATTCTCAAATCAGTGCCCTCTTCAAATAACCACCGGATCGCTCTGATCTGGACTAGGGTGGCTGGGTGGAGAATTCTGATTGCAGCAGGTTAGAGTGTCTCCTGCCAGTGTCTCTCTTTCCCATCCCATCCTTTCCTCTCTTCAAAGTTGTCTTCTCCCCTGTCGCTGACAGGCAAATACTCCTGCTTTCTCCTTTCAGCCAGAAAAGTTCAAGTTCCTTCTTTTTCTGTTATTTGCTGCTCTTCTACCTGAAGAGTCTGGGAGTTTTAACTAGCTTATAGATGCTTGGGTAGGGTCTAGGAAGTTCATGTAGCGACAGAGTTCTTACCTGAAGCTCAAATGCAAGCCATGGTTGGGTGTCATTTTTACAGGCTGATTGGTGGTACCTATAATATAGGGACTGTAAGAAGAAAGGGGAAAAATGAGTCACTTAGATTTGTCTTAACACTTGCTTCTGTCATGGGCACACAGTTTGGCCTCCATCCCAGCTTACCATTTGTGATACTTGCAGGTGAGGGCACCATTGACCAGCTCACTGATGGAGCCTGTTTCACTCAGATCATCCAAGAGAATGACTAGGGGCACATCCCCGATTCCTGTTTCTCGGTCTATCTGGTTGGCCAGGTTCGAGAGATAGAGTTGTAGATCCTTGAATTAGACAAAAAAAAAAAAAAAAAGAAGAATCAGCCTTTGGGTCAGCCTTGGAAAGAAGCCTTGGACTAGCTTTGCTAGTTCTGTATCTCTTGGGGCTGTGGCTCATGTTGGATGTGTGCACACATTTGGTTACAGAACCCCCTCCCTGGAGACTGATCATGGTGATCTCAAGACTCTCCAAACACCTTCTGCAGTGGCCTTGTGTCTCTGAAAGGTGGAGCACACAGCTCTTCTGTAAATACTTTGTGCTGGTTTGGGACGGTGAACTACCATTAATAGATATACCTCTCCCAAGAGGGAAGAGCTAAACACTTGAAACAACTCCAAAGTATTAGGATGTGTTCTAGAGACATTATTGGGGTGACAGTGGGGGGAGGCTCACAATATGTACTATTTAGGAGTATTTTTTCCAGAGATCCCAAAGCACAAGATACTGGGGAGAAAGACAAGAGAGAAAGAATGAGATTGAGTGAAGATAATGAAATAGAAATAGAATCTCATCAATGACCATCTAAAGGGAAAGGTGTGAAACAGAAATGTGGAGGAGGAAATTACAAGCAAAAGACAAACAAGAATTAAAGGAAAGAAATTAGGGCAAGCTGTACATGGGTGGCTCATGTCTGTAATCCTAGCTTCTCGGGAGGCTGAGATTTGTGGTTTTGGAGAGGAAAGTCTTTGATACTCTTACCTCCACTAAACTACCAGGGGGGGAAAAATGTGGTACGGTAGCTCAAGTAGTAGAGTACTAGCCTTGAGCAAAAGCAGCTCAGAGACAGTGCCCAAGCCTTGAGTTCAAGCCCCAGGATCAGCATAAAGAAATTAGGGCAGGGGAAGGAGAAGACTGGAAAAGGGAATGAGGCAAGGAGAAAAGGGAACGAGGCAGGGAAGAAAGGGAAAGCCCATTGGAGACAGGGAGAGATGGAGGCAGGACTATGGAAAGGAAAAGGGGAATGAGGAGGGAGGGTACCCAGGATAGGTCTTGGGGGTGGGGGGCAGGGGGCTGAGCCTGTGTAAGATGGGCAGCCACCTTGCAAGACTGCTGGTGCATGTTGAAGGTGCTGACGATGCCCTCGGTGACCTCTCGGCCGGAGCGCTCCACCAGGTACTCGGCTAGCCGATTGGTCAGGTAGGTCTTGCCAGTACCGCTGGGACCCGAGAGGATGAGGCGCCGGTGCTTGAGCAGAAGGCTTATGTAGTGCTGCATCATGGGCTTGGGGATGAGCGTCTCAAACACCAGGCTGTCGACGCACTTCTCCTTCAGACCTGAACCCCACCCCAGAAAGCGGGAGTCCAGACCATGACCATGAGGATGGCCAGGGGTCCCAAAGAAGATTGTCCTTCCTTCTCTAGGAGCCCACTGAAGAAACACAGAACCATTTACCCCATGGAGGCACAGGAATCTCCTCAACTCTCATTTCGAGAATTCAGATCTCATTTTTTGGGAGACATACCCTAAGCTAGAGATGAATAGGCAGATTTTATAAAACGAAGTGCTGGACCAGGCACGGTGACTTATGCCTGTAATCCCAGCCACTCAGGAATCCATAAGTAGGAGGATCATAGTCTAAGGGCAGCCTGGATTACAGTGTGAGATACAAGGCCTTATCTGAAAAATAATTGAGCAAAAGAGGCCTGGGAATATGGCTCATGTGGTAGAGCACCTGCCTAGTACACATGAGACCCTGAGCTCAAACCCTGGTACGGGGGGCTAATCATCTTTTTCATCTTTGTAATACCTCATATTATTTAAATTCTTTCCCATCACAGCTTCTCAATGAGTTCTTTTTGGATGAATGCACAATGCATGATCTCATAGGCCTTGCCCGGCCTTCATGCCGCATCACCTCGCCCCAAGAGACAAAAGACTAACCTTTGAGGGAGACCGAGATGCTGCTGACCCCTCGGCAGCACGGAGGCATCTCGGGGGGCTCGGCGTCCAACACTCGCTTCACGTGGCTGAGGCTGTAGCCATGGATGGACTCGGTGCTCAGTCCCAGGGTGGCAGCTGGGTCCATTTTAGAAATATATTCCTGATAGAAGAGACAGGGAGGGCATGAAGATGGGAAGGAAGCTTGAACACAAAAGTTCAAGGACAGTGCCCAGGCCCCAAGTTCAAGTCCCAGGGCCGGCACACTCACAACAAAATGGTAAAGAATACTGAAGAGACAGTAACATAGTTGGAGAAGCCACAAGATGAATACTACAGGAAATAAAAGGTGAGAAAGGGCACTTGCTTTGCCCATTTTGCCTTTCTCCAGAAAACCCCTAGGTCCCCAGGAACCCAGGGCCTGGGTGGCTGAAAATCCCATGGGAGGATGAGTGACCTTTGTGACTACACGTGGCCTTCTTACCTGGAACACTTGGAAAACAGCTTCATCCAGCATCTTCCAGTCAACTTTCCCGCTGACCTTGCTACAGCCCAAGAAGAATTCCTGCTGCTTCAGGTCCTGCAAGGTCAAGGTCGAAGCACATGAGCCTCATGCACATGACTGAGAAAAGGAGATCCTACAAAGCCTTAGGAGTCAAGTAATTCTGGCTTGGGGACTACTGAGAGCCCCAATTTTTCTTGCCAAAGGACAACAGAATAGATATTTCTCTATATATGATGGCACTGAATTCAGAATGCATTCGATACATCTAACGTATGCCGGGGTTTAGCAATGCAGCCAAGGTGGAGGGCCCTATGTTCACCCTCGTGTGTGTGTGTGTGTGTGTGTGTGTGTGTGTGTGTGTGTGTGTGTGAGAGAGAGAGAGAGAGAGAGAGAGAGAGAGAGAAAGGGGGGGGAACTGAGGCTCCTAACATCACTCAATGTCCCGAGAAACTCTCACCCTACATACTTCCCAGCTCAGGAAAAGATCAAAATTTAAAAGATGGCTGCTACTGAAGGCATCAGTTCTAAAGCATGGTAAAGTCTGAGTCCATCTGTATTATGCTGGTTCCTCTGCAGGTCCTTCCTGAAGTTCCTTACCCCTTTGATGATGTGCTGGGGGGGCATCCGTACCACCACCCGAAGGGTCACTTCCTCCTTTGGGCCACTGGTGCTGATGCCATCCATGGGCGACAGGTCTGTGGGGATTGAAAAGGATTAATTGGCTTGAGGGACACGCACAATGTTCCCCCTAAACTTTCTAGCTATTATCCTTTCCAAATAGCCATTATCCTTTCCGAATAATTACTGTCTACTCTATGATACAGAAGAATCAGGAGATCCAAACTGAAATGAGGTTAAGCATTTAAGAACCATAAGAACTTTTTTTTTTTAATTTTTCTTTCCTTTGGTGATCTTGGGGTTCGAACTCAAGGCCTTTCTTATACTTGCCAGGCAAGTGCTTTACCACTTGAGCAATACTTTCAGCCTGTGTTGCTTATGTTAATGTTCACATAGGGTCTCGATTTTTGCCTGAGTGAGTCTTTGTGCTTCTCTCTTTATGCTTCCTGTGTAGCTGGGGTGACAAGAGTGGGCCACCATGCCCTATTTTAAAAATTGGTTGAGATGCAGTCTCTGGAATTTTTTTGGTCCAACCTGGCCTTAAACTGCAATCCTCCTGATCCTAGCCTCCAAGTAGCTAGGATTGCAGATGTGATCATTCTTAGGTGTCTTCTAACAAAGTGCTTGATGGCCTCAGGAGGATGCCACAGAGCAAGTGGAACGATCATAGTGAAATGAGTCCCCACCTTGTTTTTTTTTTTTTTTTAACTCTTCACCTCTATTGGCTCTTCTTCCCCAAAGGTACCTGTATCCGTGAGACCCGGGCTGAAGGAATGGGTGAGAGCAAGGCCTAGGGAGCGGCGAGGGGACGACAGAGTAGAAGATCCAGGGACCTGCCCTGGAGTGGAGCCTGAGGAGGGGCCGGGAGCGACCTTCAGCCGGTCATTCTCTGCCTTCAGCAGGTCCACCTCCAACTGTGGCAAGAAGAGACAGGGCAGGGTCGCAGGGCTGGACACAGCTCAGGCCATGACCTCCCCTCTCCTGCAGCTCTGTGCCCGGACACTGACCTGCATGTTGTGCATGGTCTCCCGAAGCTGGTCCAGCTGGTGGGCAGAGTTGAGAGCCTCTAAGCGAATGTCTGTAAGTTTCATCTCTTTCTCCCATAGCTCAGAGCGCAGCTCAGATACCTCCTTCTTTTCTGGCTCCTCCTCCTCATTAGCATGGAAGAGCCTGGTGTGTGGGACTGAATGAGCAGGGGCCCTGTAGGAAAGCAAGAGTCAGCCGGACTTGCGCAGAAGCGTTTGTTACTGGGCAATCTGACATGCGTGGTCGGTAGTCTTGGCCCATGGATACTCAGTAAATATGACAGAAAGGTGCCCTCTGTGGGTCTCACAAACCCAGGAAGAGGGCAATAAGTAAGGTGGTGTTTGTCCCGGGTCTATGAGCTTACCGCCAGCTCTGGCTAGCAGTTGACACTGGCAGCAGGCTGGGTGGCAGGCACTCAGAGCACTTACTCAGTGACCTCAGTGCCCACGGAGGATGAGGTGGAGGACTTGAGGGAGGGTGAAGCGGTCTCTGTGGAGCCGTGTTGCAGCTTTGGGGATGAAGGAGCTGAGGAGTCGGGAGTGGCGATCTCCTCAATATCAGAGTACGAGGATGCGGATTTGGGTCCCTTTTTTATACTGAAGGCTTTGTTGAAAGAACTTCGAAGCTAGGAAAGAACAGATCCAGGTAGAGAGATGTTAGGGCTCCATTTTGGACTGCTTTGGGATTGGGAGAGGCAGGGGACTTACTTGCTGTAACTAAGCTCGCTCTATGAGGTGTGGCATATGGACAGAGCCCCACACACGAGGACTCAGAAAAAGAGTGGCTTGCTGCCGCTGTAGCTGTGGGGACTTCTTGGGGCTTCTCCCTTTTGGGGGGGGGACTGTCTCCTAAGCAGGACAGAGAGAAGACCCCAGAGGATTCGTGATATACCTCTCAGCAATCCAATCCTATCAGTGAATTAATCTAGAGACTCACTCACTTTGGGTCTCAAGATCCCCTCTCTTCCTTGGGTTCATCAACCCAGATTCTACTCATCTCCTTACAAAACAGCCAGAAACTGACACTGGGGTTCTGTGAAGATGAAGAGAAGGGAGTGGTACCAAGTTGCACTTAGTATTGTGGTATGTGTGCCTAGCACGCCACAGAGCAGTTAGAACAACCAGACAAAAGCACTTTTTACTACGTTGAGATCTCTCTCAGCCTCTCCTCAGATCAGGGCATTATAACCCGATGTTTGATCTCAGCACTGATGAGCTTGGGTGTTGGGTGGGGGTGAGCTTTTAAGAGATGCAACCCAGGAGCCTCATCCCACACCCATTCACATGCATCCATTCAGCATGCACACACACAGGGACACAGACACAGAATGGCAGCAAGAGACGGAGAGTAAAGGAGGGGTCAAAGGCCATAGGGGAAAAAGGCAATGCAGATCCTTCAGACAGGGGGAAATAAATGAAGGAAAATTTGAGGATATCCTTTCTAATCGTCTCTCTTGGGACAGAGTCTGTTGGGTAATGGGTAGAGCTAGCGGCTAGTGGCCATTGATTCTCTACTAGGTAAGACATAAAGGAGGACCAATCTGACTCTAGTAGGGTTGAGTGAGAAAGCATGTATGCAGCCTGCTGGTTCCAGAGACTTTACTGTCCTTTAGCAACCAGGGCCCTAAAGTACCATAAAGCTCAGGTCTCTGCTGAGTTGAATCAAGAATCAGGATGGAAAAGTACAGAGTGGATTTCTTGCTGGCATCAGGCAACTGAAGGAAGACTTGGAATTCAAATTCAGGCTTGTTCATTTTTAATCTAATCAAGTTTTCTATAAATCATTCATGGGATGCTGTATGTGTATATGTAGAAAAAAACCCCTGTGAGCCAGGTGTCCAAGGCTCACATCTGTAATCCTAGCTATTCAAATGGCTGAGATCTGAGATCACACGCTGAAGCCAGCCCAGGCAGGAGAGTCTATGAGACTTACTTCCAATTAATCACCAAAAAGCTAGGAGTGGAGCTGTGGCTCAAGTGGCAGAGTGCCAGCCTTGAACAAAAAAGCAAAGGGAAAGTGTCCAGGCTCTGAGTTCAAACCTCAGTTCTGGCACTTAAAAAAAATAAAGAAATCCTGTGACCAGTGTGCCTGGAGTGTAGCCCTCTGATCACTAGGGTTCTAAGTAAGAATGGTGCGCAGTGCACTTTATAGAGTGCACCTAACCCTTGAAACATGTTTGTTGGCATACAGCTAATGGTCCCATGGTTATGAGCTCAGAAAACAGTGGAGTAAGCAAGACAAAGCAGGACTCTTTCCGGGAGATATTTCAGAATGTGTCCTGTGCAAATGGGCACTGGAGAATATTTAGTGATTCTGAAATTTGATCTGATAATGGCAGCATCACTATTGAAGGAGTATCTGAACAGATTGGTGATCTGTGAAATCTACTATGAGAGATGCTAAAGAGCCAGACGCTAAAGAGGCCTCCCTCTGTGTGCTCTACCCTCCCTGGTCAGGCCTCCGTGAGAGCTGGTCCCTTTGCTCCATTGTTCCCTTCTGACCATACAGTGTTGATATAGAGCGTTCCACCACATCCCCAGCTACTTTTCCTAATTCCACCTGAGTTTACTTTCACTGCTTTTGTGCTGTCTGCTCCAATGACTCTGGTCAATGAACTGTACTTAAAGGACTATAAGCATTTGGGCACCACTGGATTGTTATTCATTTTATATGTGCAATGTTCTTTTTTTCTCCTCAGGAACACTGTAGGCTCCTGACAGAGGTGAGGGTCTCAGGAGCTCACGTCCTCCACACCCCTGTTGAGATCGGGTGGGAGGGATGCTCAGGTGTTTGGTTTGCAGCAGAGATTGTGGGTTCATCTTCTTGTTGTTGCTGTTGTTTGCCTTAGACTCTACTGTAGTCCCTAAATGCTTTTAGAGGTCCTATGGATATCTGGAGGGTTTTAAGGTTTGGGATGATGACGGTGTCCTAGACTGGACCATATCCCCCATAATTTCTGCTTTATGCTACTCTGGAGCTAAATCTTTAGGTTAAGCCCAAGCTAAACTGGCCTCTGAAAACTGTGGTCAAGAAAACCTCCATCCAGATTCCTTCTGGCTTCTAGGTTTAATGGGCCAGAAGTGTAAAGGGTTATTTTCTGGGCCAGGTGCTGGTGGCTCCTATCTGTAATCATAGCTACCCAGAAGGTTGAGATCTGAGGATCGTGATATGAAGCCAGCGTAGGTAGGCAAATCTATGATTCTCATCTCCAATTAACCAGCAAGAGGCTGGAAGTAGAGATGTGGATCAAGTGGGTAGAGTGCTAGCCTTGAGCAGAAAAGAGAAAAAAGCAAAGCAAAAGCAAGAGGCCCCAAGTTCAAGCCCCAGTGAGAGCACAAACTATTTTCTGGGTAGGAGAAGCTCAATGTGACTGCTTTTTATAGTAGTCCAATTCAGTAACAGGGGACGGACGACAGGAGGGAACTGATTCTGATTGTGTTTGGCTTTCCCATCTGACCTATAACCAGACCACTCCTCTGCTCTGCAGAGGCAGCTGTGGGTGCACCATGCAGTGGAGGGAGGGAGTTGGGACCTCTGTGCAGTTGCAGTGGTACTATTAGTGTTCTGAGTGGCTGTTCTTTTCCTTTCTTTTCTTTTTAGAGGGAAATAATTGCTCTATAAGTAAGGAAGGTAATGATAAAGGGAAGAGAAAGTAAGGGAAGAGGAAAAGAACCGGGCCTCTTACCTCATAGACCTGGAAAAAAATAGGGATTTGAAGTCAGCATTTTGAAGGGGGAAAAAAAAACAGAAGAAGCAACACTTAATCACTCATTTCACACAATGGGCGCCTGTCTGCATTCCACAAAGGTCTGCGGGCCGGTCCTAAACAGGGAAGAGATGAGCTCCCTTCCCCAGTCAGCCAGAAGAGCTGAGTGTCCTAGAAAACTAAAGAATTTCAAAAAGACCATCCAAAGTCATTTTAGGGTCGGAGGGAGGTGCGTAATGACAAACATGAGAAAGACCCCTCTGGACCACCCAAAGGTAATAGAGCCCTTTTGAACACTTTAGAAAGCTCCGCGAATTCCTCTCCAAATTGGAGAAATCACCTCCAGAAGCCCCTAGAAGGAATGACACTGTTTACAAAACCTTTCTACAGTAAAGGGAGTGGGCAGGGAAGGGACTGCTATGCCATTTCCTTCTGAGGATTTCTCCAGCTCCTTCGGTGGTCAAATATATTTGATCTAATCCGTGTGAAGAGCCCATGCTAGCAGAAGTGGGAAAAGGTTGCAGGGAGAGCCTGGGGACCAGCAGGCCGTGGCTGGGACAATGGAAGAAGTTGGCAGACCTTGCTCCCTGCAGACACCAGACTGAAGTTTACCACTAGAAGGGACCAGTCAACCCTGGAGGCCAACCCAGGTTATCCAACCCCTGTGCTGCATTGGAGGCAGAACCTCAGAGATTCTGCCCATGAACCTTTACCTACCCAACTCTTCTTCTTCTTCTTCTTGGCATCAGCATCCTTGCTGCTGCTGATGCTGGAGTGGCTGGTGATGCTGTTGAGGCTTGAGATGCTGTCTGAGGAGTTCTGTCTCTTGATCCGGAGTTCTAGGGGCCAAGTTCAAGTGGAAAGGAGGCAGAGGTGGATTTAGAGAACACAGGAGAATCAAGTTAAGGCTAGATACAGAAGATAAACAGGGAAGGGAACCCACCAACTTCTTCTAGAAATGCACCATTCAATTTGTGAATTAGTTATCAAACAAAACATTCATGAAAGGCAAATCATATTTCAACACAGAAATTGCTAGAAGCTAAATAATAAGAATAATAAATAAAGCTGGGCACCAGGAGGTCACACCTGTAATCCTAGCTGCTCAAGAGGCTGAGATCTGAGGATCGCAGTTTGAAGCCAGCCGAGCAGAAAAGTCTATGACACTCTTATTTCTAATTAATCACAAAGAAAAGCCAGCAGTGTAGCTGTGGCTTAAGTGATAAGACTGCTAGCCTTGAGCAAAAGAAGCCCAGGGATCACACCAAGGCCCCCCCAGGCACAAGGAGTTCTCAGTCTAGTAGGAAAAAAAAGAAATGGTGTAAAGTGCTCAGCTTGAATAGAGCTCTGAGAAGGACTTACTAAGCCTGACCATCTACACTTTAGGCACATACCATCCTATCCTGGGTCAGGGCTTATCCAGCAATACTTAGCTACCCAATGGTCCAAGACCAAATATAAATAGCTACATGCAGAACTTTTAACCTGAATACAGGGTAAATCCCATCTGATGATGAGAAAAGTGAACATGCCAGCCAAGTATTCCACCACTGAACTATGCCCTCAGCAGGGGCCACGTACACATAAGGTACTGAATTAAGCTTTCCAGCACTAAAAATATTAGATGGCAGAATAAGTTGCATACTTGTCTATCTTTTGAAGGTTTCAATAAGTTGTGAGCCTATCAACTAAATAAGAGATTCCACGCGAATTATTTTTAAGAGCAAAAGAGCCAGGCACACATGGCTCATGCCTCTCATCCTAGCTACTCAGGAGACTGAGACCTGAGGATTGTGGTTCAAATCCAGGCAGAAAAGTCTGTGCAATTAATCCCCCCAAATGCAGTAGAGGGGTATGGCTCAAATGGTTGAATGCTAGCCTTGAGCAAAAAAAAAAAAAAGCTTAGGGACAGGACCTAGCTTTTGAGTTCAAGCCCTAGGACAGGCACAAAAACAAAATAAAACAAATCTTAAATTACACAGTATGAATAAGTGTTTCGTCTTCTGCAGTGTTGGGAATCAGACCCAGTGACATTGCTCACTCAGCAGCTGCTCTAGCACTGAGTAAAAGCTTCTGAATATGCATAAAAGCATTTTAAAAGGACGAATGTTACAATACATGAATCCCATCTCAAGTTAAACGAAAACAAATACTTTTAGAAGCTGTAGGATAGACACCAAACAAAACGTGTAGACTCCTAGAAATGGGCCATGGCTGGGGGACAGTACTTTAGGAAGCTCCATGATGGAATCAGAGCTGGAGAGACAGATGGGGAGAGTGTCTCAGAAGCTAAAGGAAGGACTTACTGAAGGACAGGTGAATAGGGCCCCAAATCTGGGAACTTGACTCTGTGTGTGTATGTGTGCGTGCGCACACCTGTGTGAACATGTATGCACAAGTACACAATGTTTTTCCTTTGAGACAGGATTTCACTATGTAGTTCCATCTGGCCTTCAACTAACTAGCTGTGCAGCTCAGGCTCACCCTGACCTCTAAATCTTCCTGCCTCAGTCTCTGGCGGGCTGGGATTCCAGATGTAAACCACCACAGTCATCATTCTTTGGAGCCCCTATTATAGGTTTTTTTTTCTTTGTTTGTTTTTTTGGCCAGTCCTGGGGCTTGAACTCAGAGCCTGGGCACTGACCTGATCTTTCTGCTCAAGGCTAGCACTTTACTACTTGAGCCACAGCGCCACGTCTGGCTTTTTCCTTATATGTGGTACTGAGGAATCGAATCCAGGGCTTCATGCATGCTAGGCAAGCACTCTACCACTAAGCCACATTCCCAGACCCAAAGATGGTTTTTGTTAACAAAGTAGGTGGGGGTTATGTTCGGAGTGAAGCAGGTGAATAGCGGGAAGAAGCGCTTGAGGAAAGCGGCAGAAGCTGTAGTGTATGGTGTGAAGGTAGCTGCTAGGGAGCAAACCAGGGCCCTATATATACAAGAAAGGGCGCCACCTGCAAACTCTATCCCCAGCCCACAGCCCACAGATATTTTGGTGTCAGGCTATCTGTAGCGAAGTCTGATTGCTAACTGCCGAGGCCGCCTTGTCACATGACACTCGTGTGACTCATGTATCTATCTTTGGCTGTGTCATCTGCAGAGAAGACTGACTTTCTCTCCCTTGGAGACATGAGGTGACCATCAAGAAAGCTCACATACACGTATGTAGAGCAACACATTTGTGGACAGATGTGAAGTGCTCTGCTGGTGACTGCCTTTGACGGCTCTTTGGTCTGAAGGCTGAGAGGCCTTGCAGTGGATTACAGATCTCCTCGACCAGCCTTCATCCCCTGCAGTGATAGTCATGTTCCTCATCACTCCTCACTAGCCAGCCCAGACATCATATTGGAGGGAATTTCATATGAAAGGTGGCACATTGTGGGACAAGATGGAAATCTGCACTCATCCTCTTCACCCTGCTCTGTTCTCCCTCGGTGGGGAAACAGAACACCTTACCTTTGGGTGTGGCTTCTGAGGCATTCAGGGCCCCCTGAATAACCGCCTGAGCTTCAGAGTTCTTTTTCTTCAGGAAGTCGATCGTTTCTCGTAGATCCAGCAGCTCAGTGTCCTAAGCCGGGAAGGAAAATAAGGTCAGCACTTGGAGATGGCTGGGCAGTGGGGTGGGCCCTGGAATTCTATGCATCTTGACAGAGAAGGGCAGGGAATTGGAGCAAGGAGAATCAGGGCAAGGGAAACTGTCCTGGTGACTGAGGAGGGAAACCCGGGCCTCGGTGTCTCATATCCCCACCCACGCCTCTCACCTTCTCCTCCGCTGTTTCTGCCAGATGTCTCAAGCGAGATGTCATGTTCACCAGGCTCTGCTCAAAAGCAGCCACTAAGTTAGCCTGAAACAAACACATGAACAGATCATCTGTTGCATGAAGCTAAGGGAAAGAAAATGACTGAGATGCAAAATAGTTTTAGCTGTTTTTCTGTCTCAGAGCTGGCCCAGGTCAATGAACCTCTTAGTTTTAAAACACTGATTTCCCTGAGCAGACGGTGAATCAGCTTCCTGAATAAGGTGAGACCGTCTACAGGTCATCTACCAGAGGTGGCACTGTCTCTGTGCTCTGTGTGGGATGGGAGTAGAAGGCTGATGGGGGTGAGGGTGGGGGCATAAGTCTCTAGAAGCGTTCCTACAGTTTTGGTTTCCCTCCATAGTGAAGTGTGCTCACTCCTGTCATACTAAATAACCTCCCCACAGGTCCCTTTGGATCTTTCTTCCTCTGCCCCCAGAGTGACTCTTTCTTCTTTTATTATTATTTATTAAGTAGTTGTAAAAAGAGATTACAGTTTCATAGATTAGGTTATGAGTAGAATACTTCTTGATCAGTGTTATCCCTTCGTTTCCCCCCATATCCTCCTTGCTCCCTCCCTCCTTCCCCTGACCCTTTCTCCATTCTTAATCTACTTCTGCTCTGGAACTACTTGTTTCTGGTTTCTTCAGATTCTACTCTGCAAGATGGGAGGGAAATGGCTCGAGACTTCAGGTGCATTCTGCAGTTTGGCCACCAGAGGTCAGGTTGGCTTCGTGAAAGGTGCCGGGTCTGGAGGGGGCCCACTGGAGGCAGGCTGCATCAAGGTGCTGTGGGGCACTAAGGCCATGTGGAATGTGGCTACAATTCTAGCTGACCAACTGGCAGCAAGATGTACAAGAATGGTGAAGGGAATGAGGCATGGGACTCAGAAGGATACTTGAGGATGAAGAAACAACCAACCATCAAGGAAGGCATCTGACTAAGAGGCAATGCATGTATTCTGGGCAGGTCCTTCACACAGGTGCAACGATGTGACAGCCTCACTGCTTCTCATTGGTTGGGCTCGCTCTTGTTTTCACAGCTGCCCATGACAGATGCCTGGAAGCTTACTGGAATAGGACTATGGAAGTTGCCTCTTGCCTTGACTTCCTGCCAAGGATCCTGAGCAGACATATGTGGTGACCTAAGCAGTTTTCTTTCACTTTGAGTATGTGTGTGCCCGCATGCCAGTATGGAAGCTTGAACTCAGGGCCTAGGCACTTTTTTGCTCAAGGCCAGTGGTCTATCATTTGTGCCACAGCTCCACTTCCACCTTTTTGGTAGTTAACTGGAGATAAGAATCTCAGGAACTTTCCTGTCTGGGCTGGCTTCGAACTGTGACCCTCAGATTTCAGCTTCTTGAGTAGCTAGGATTACAAGTATGAGCCACCAGTGTCCAACCAACTTCAATCTTCTTGACCTCATCTCTCATTTGCTCCTCTTATCCCAGTGTCTATCTGTGGACAGGCAGCTTGAAGTCCTGGAAATCTATTCAAGAGTACTGACTGGAGAGAACCACGGGCCTCCTGTGTGTTTTTCTTTTTGTTGTTTGTGCTTGTATGTTTTTCTAAATCAGCCTCTCCTCATCTAGGGGACTGAGATTTCCTCTCCCACCCTGTCTCCTACATGTCCTCCCCTTCCCCTGAACATTCCCCTAATCCCAAGCTCAGACTAGGGTGCCCACAGGACCATGGGGCTGTGTGCGGCCCCAGAGGCTAGCATTGGGAGTGGTAGGTTGTTCTGAACCCCTTTCCTGTCTTCAGCTTCTGTTGTTTGGATGTTGCATGCAAACTTGGCCATAATTTGGTCCAAAGTCAGGACATCTTGAAGAGAGCTGCGGGACCTTCCCAGAGTCCTGGCATCTCCCGTGTGAAGGCGGGGCTCTGACCCTTGGCAGAAATATGTATCACGATTCCGAACTCACCGTGCCTGGGTGTTTAGTTTGTTCTCCCTTAGTCGAATGGAACTTCCTGTTCTAAGAAAAATCACCCTCTAAATTCATTTTCTTGGCCCTCCCCCAGCTTTGACAGCATGATGCCGGACAAACTGCAGTGTAAATGAATCAAACAATAATGTTCTTTGCCTCCCTGGCGGCTCTCCCTATCCCCATCCAGCTTCTCTCCAACACAAGTTTCCTAGTGTGTGCAGGACGTGACTCTGGCTGTTGGCCTTGATAGGCATGCATAAGATGGTTCTTTTTTATGTTACAATTCTCTGGGTCCCCAGGTGTGGGAAACAGTGCTTGGTAAGAGCTTCTAATAAACTACCAAGTACAGAACTTATAATCTAGGAGGTTGCGGAAAGAGAATAAAGAGTGTATTTCAGCTGCTGTTGAAATGTATTGGAAACAAAATTTGGGAGAGATTTTGGGGGTAGTTTCTACCTGATTCCAAGGGACAGACCCCAGGCCTGACAGCTGGGTTCCCCGGGGAGGATGGGAAGAGAGAAAAACCAGTAAGCACTGCGGAAATTGCAGACATGGTTACTTTGTGCAAACACTTGGAAAGCTCCTGTAGATCCGGCTCAGCTGGTGTTTACAGCTTTGGGGGAAAATGGCTCTTATGTTCTCTGTTTGCATCTCAGTCACAAGGGAGAAACTACCACAACCTGGTTAGACAAGGCGGTTCCATTCCACCCCATCTCAGAGAGCAGAAAAAACTAAGGCAGAAAGGAAGACAGTGACCATACTAGATGAATGCAGGCACAGCCGGTCTTTGCTGGCTGCCTACGAGCTACCAGGCAGGTAGTTGGCTAACATGGTATCATGGTCACTGCACAATGCGAATGACAATTCTGGGCCTGTTCCCTTACTTGGCATGAGAAAAGGCATGTGCTACCCCAGGACAACGAAAAGGGCCTCAAAGGGCTCAAGAAGTACAATCCATTGCTATTTTGTTCACAGCCAATGGCAAAATGGCTTTTGCCTCCTTGATGAACCTCTTTTCTCTCTAGGAAGGTCAAATACTAACTGCTAGATGCCACCCCATTCGCATTGGAGTAGGGGAAAAATGTCTTCTTTCATCCTTCCCTTCTCTTTCTCCCTCCTTTACTCTCCCCTTCCCTCCCTCCATCTTGCTCTTTGTGTTTTTTTTTTTTTTGATCCAGTCTTGCTTTGGAGCCCAGATTGTCCTCAAACTCAAAATGTTGCTGTCTCCATCTTGCAAATGCTGGGATTACAATTGTCTATCACCACGTACCACTCAACATGGCTCTTTACAAGGGCTCAGGAGGTAAAGAGGTAAGTCTCAGGAGGTAAATCTTCTGTTGTAGGTGTGTGCAGAAACTTGCTCTTTTGCAGTCTAAACCCATGACAGACTTTGTCAAAAACTGTCTGAAATAGATCAATCTAACCATGACCAAAACAGTGGCCCAGGGCTTTCTCTTCACTCACGTTGGCGGAGAGTTGGGATGTCAAGGTGGCCACCTTTTCCTGGGATGATTCCAGTTCCCTACGAAGCTTCCGGATTTGCTGCAAAAGGAAGAGAAAAATCCACTACTGATGGCAGAAGTAAAAGCTCTGGAGGGAAAATGGGGTGCAGTGGTGTTAACAAGCAGAGACCAAAGCTTTGCACCCTACCTCCGACTGCATCCTCTCCTCAGCCTGAAGGGAGTGCAGAGGAAAGAAAGAGAAAGCAGGTGGTTACTATGGCGGTGAAAAAGGCAGGCCTGGGAAACAGGGAGGGTGCTGTCCTGGTCCCAGCTCCTCAGAGCTCAGGGTTTACAGATTTCTCTGGTACTTATCTCTAGCTCTCTCTCTCTCAGCAAAGAAGGCTAGGAAAGGGAACCTTGGTTGTTCTCACAGCCAATCCTTTTGCCATCCATTTGAAGGAGTAAAGAATTAGAGGGCAAGGCTGAGCACCAGTGGTTCACAACTATAATCCTAGCCACTCAGTAGGCTGACATCTGAGGATCATGGTTTGAAGCCAGCCCAGGCAGGAAAGACTCCTATCTGTAATTAACCAGCCCAAAGCAGGAAGTGGAGGTGTGGCTCAAGTGGTAAAGCACTAGCTTTGAGTGAAAAAGCCAAGTGAGTGTGGGAGGTACTGAGTTCAAGCCTCACTACACACACACACACACACACACACACACACACACACACACACACACACACACACACACACACACACACACACACACACCATAAAACAACCTAGGAATCAAAGGACATCTAAAAGTGTATGCAGCACCCCATAACATAATAAACATTTGGTCAGTTCCGTACATTATTGAGGTCCTAGATGCTTAGAAACCTCATCTAACCTTGCCATCAACGCTTCTCAGCACCACAGGAAAAGGGCTTGATAACAAGGAGATCTTCCCTTTTCTCAAAGGAGAGGAACACAAAGCACCAGAGTTGCTTAGGAGTTGGTGGTGAGGCCAGAAAGACAGACCCCTGAGGCGCCCAAATGAGTGGTCGGAGCCCAGGCACCTGCCTCTACCCCAACCAAAGGGAATGAGGGAGGGCAGGAGGGAGGGGAGAGCAGGGAGGGGGAAGGAAGGGAGGATGTAAATGCTCTTACTGAGGAGTAAGTGGAGGAGGCACTGGAGGCCAGGGAGAGCACGGAGCCATGAACTGAAAGAGAAGCAGAACACAGGGTGAGTGAAGCGTCCCCGGGCCCATGGGTGTCTGGCATGAGACTAAGGCAGGAGTTTGGATTCTGGTTCTGGAGCAGCAGAGTGCCCCCCCCCACTGCCCCGCGCCCGCCCGCTGGCATCCCAACAGCCCCAAGGCAGTCAGAAACCTGAGGAGAGGGGCCCAAATTGACAGCCTCCCTGCTGCTACCTCCTCCAGCAGCCCAGGCCTTGTGGGCCCCTGCTCAGCGTGTTCCGAGGCTCCAGAGACAGGAAGGGAGGTTTTCATGATCATCTACCATCTTGTCCTCCCAGTCAGGGAAGTATTTTTATAAAACATCAGAAGGAGGGACTTTCTCATCAGAGCTGCTCAGAATAAATATCCCGGTTCTTTCTAGGCCTCTCCTGGCTCAGTACTGGGAATATTTATTCTGATTGTTCAGTAGAGCCTATTGCAAGAACCGAAGCATGTCTGCAAGGAATGCTTCCCCCAATGAGCATCCTGAGAGTAATAATGGGGGTTCTAATGCACCCCAAGACCTGGTCTCCCAGGAGCAGTTTGCCAGTAGTCACACCCTGATCACCACCAACAAACAGATGGCCGTCCCAAAAGCTAATCTTTGGAACGTTCTGGAAAGAGCAACAAGATGCCTAGTTCTTTGTAACGATTACATCCCTGCATGTCTGTTCTAATACTGGAGAGACTGTGGGGAGGAAAGACTACAACTCGAACTTGGTTTTCTGAGCATCCTGATGGGGCACCATATAACCCGATCCTGACTTCCCTCCCCTGGTCCCTGGCTAGATGCACCATCCCCAAGCCCCAGTGCTAGACAAGGCCACCCAAGGTTTCTGGGCCCCCAGACCCTTCAAAGGTATGGGAAAAAAAGAACTGAAATGGCCCAAACTGATGTCCTATGGATCGTCTATGTGTTGTGTGGTGGCAGTGGAGGTGGTACGGTGGGTGAGGGGACCCAGCAGAGCTGGAATGAGTGTGAACCGCGCTGGCATGAAGTCTCACCGTCGTCCGTGGGGTCTCGGAAGGATCCTGACCGAATCATTCCCTTGGGTCTCTCGGCCAGGGACAGGGTGCTCCCCAATTGGGAGCCGCTGTACAGCTCGAAGGCCGCCTCGTGGGTGGGGATGCTGTTGGAGCGGGTGATTCTTGGCGTGGTGGCCGCAGTGGGACTCACTGGAAGGACAGAGGGGAAGGGGACAGGAGAGGGAGGGGGAGGCGGGAGAAGAGGCAGGGTCATCAGCTCTGGTCCCTTGGGGGCCGGAGCACCAGGAGCATGAGAGGCAATGGGAAGAGGTGGGGAGAAGAAGGGGCGGGTGGGGCAGTGCTAGTGTGCAAGCAGCTGGTGGTTAGGAGCGGGGTGAGGGGGGTGGGGGGGTCCCTCCTGGGGAGGTTGAGCCCTAGTGGGGAAGGACCCTGCATCTGGGATGAGGGCCTCCCCTCAACCTTGCCTGCCTTGGATCTGTTGTTTTTTGAAGGTTAGGCTGGGGGCCTTGGCAGCTTTCCCGAAACCTTCACATCACGGGGATGTGCCTGGGATGAGGATGGATGTTGTGGTTCCCTAAAACACAGCTGGCAGCTTGGGAAGACTCGGAGCTCCAACCAAGACTCAGAGCCGAATGATGAGAAAGAACCAGCCGGCAGGGACCAGGCTGTGGGATCCAGTGGGATCCATTATAGGAGTGAGAGTCTCCCTGCAAAGCGGGCACCCCCCCCCCGCTAGGTCACTTTAGGTCAGCTCTAGAGCATCAAGAAATGCGGCCCTCTCTGCCCAACACTCCCCTGGCTTGAAGATCTGACAGACAGCAGCTAAAAGTGTCGGTTAGGCTATGGACTCTACTTTAAATCTGGGCTCTGTGGACTCTTGGAAAGCTACAGAACCCTTCCCCCTTTGCCTGTTGCTGGAAAGACAGCCTTTCCAGGCTCGTGCCCTTGTGGAGTTCATTCACCTATTCTTTTGCCATACACAGGCACATGGATGCCTAGCCTGCCTGTAAAGACCTGTGCAAAAAGATTCTCCACCCAGATCTTGAATCTACAAGGAGATCACTGTTTAGCCCACTTCCTCAGTCTGTAGCACATGTACTTTTCTTCCTGTTTGGCCCTTAGTGCAGATGGAAAACAAGCCTACCCCATCCTCCATTTAATAGGCTTTCAAAGACCAGATGACCCTGACCGAAGGCACAAAGGACCCTGATTCCCAGTCTTTCCTTAAATTCCCCACAGTCATTGCACAGGCAGGTTACAGGTTGTCTTACATCAACTGCTTCCTTTCATTCAGCTGAAAGATGGGATGAACTTGAAAGAGATACAGCAAGTGAACAACAGGCTCTGTCCTCAAGAGGCTCCTAGGAGGCCAGTCCTGACCCAGTGCTTTCCAGAACCAGGCTGCTGCGCCCCCATGCCAGGCCAGGCTTCCTCCCTACCCTGCCTCTGAGTCACGGAGCCACGTTTTTCTCTACCAGCTTTCCCTTGTCAGGCTTTCCAGGGGGTATGATCAGGGCATGTCTTGGTCACCCCTGCCTTCAGGGACAGGATGACCCTGGCTCAGGCAGAGCAGTTGGGGAGTCTAGATTTCCCTGGGTGTAGAGGCAGATCTCAGCCTTCTCTATCAACAACCTTTTTCCCTGCTTGCTTCCCAACAGCCTGACATGGCAGCACTGAAGCTGGACCTGATAGCATCGACCTTATCAGCTGGTCCCGGAAGGTGCTGGTGTGGCAGCGACTTTTGAGAAGCTCCCTGTCTCCAGGGTCCTTAGGACCCTTAAGGACTTGTCTCAAGGGGTAACTTTTCAGTTCAGGACCTTGGAAAGCTTTGCCTTCAGTCCTAGCTTGGGTGGGTAAACTGAGGCACCACGAAGCAACCCGATAGAGCGTGAGAAAAAACGGAGATGAAAAGTCCAGGCCCAGCTTCCTGGCTTCACCTTCAGGGTGAACCCCACTTCACCCCCCGTCAGAGTGCGCGGCCGGAAGCACTGACCTATGTTGGTGAGCTGGCCCTTGGCACTCAAGGACATGGAGAGCGCAGGGGGGGACGGCAGGTCTGCCTGGTCATCGGATTCCGGCAGCCCCCCGATGGTGTGCGAGTGTCGCCTCTCCTTGGTCTCCTCCTGGGACTGAAGCTGGTACCTGCAGAAGCAGTTGAGAAACTCGGTCTGGGCCACTACAAGGCCACACTAGGGGCTTAGCTAAGTGGATGTGTCTGAGCTGGGCTGGAGTGGGAGATTCTGAAAATGGCGCAAGGAAAAGGAAGGGGCATCCTTCCTAGAACCTCTGGGCCATGCTGAAGGACCAGCAGGTACTCAAGAGAGCTCCTGGGTGGGGGCGGAAAGGATGGAGGGGGCCTTAGAACTTCTTCTCCAAGGCTCAGGACAGAGCTTGATGACTCCACGAGTAGCCTCTCAGAGCACAGCAGTCCCTACCCAACTGACCATGGAGGACCTGGTGTCTCCTGTCCCTTGCACATCTCAATGGCCCCAGGGGTACACTGGGAGCGAGGAAAACAACAGCGAGGAAGTTCAGGCAGGATAAGGATGACACAGGCCAGCACAGGTGAGTATAGCATTTCCATGTGCAAACCTGTTTCTCCCCTGTCACTGAGGAAGGCCATTTACTGTAGCAGCTGACTCACAGGCTGGTAAGCTTGGGCAGGGTGCTGGCTGGCTTTAGTGGAGGACTGGATACAAATACCTTGGCTACAAAGCCAGTAACTTCATGCATGGGGCCTGGAACAAGTCAGGTTGGGCTTTTCATAGACTGAGGGTTTTTACCTGAGCCCTTTCTTGGGAAGGGTATTCCGATCCCGCTGATTACTGTGGAGATAAAAAACAGAGAGGGTTGGGGAAGAGAAGATGTGGGTCTAGCTTAGAAAACAGAGGTCTGAGAGGTCCAGACTCAGAACATGGGACATCAAACTATGGGATCCTTTACTGCTACGAGCAAAATAAGACAAGACAACCAAGGAAGCCACCAACGTGGCTTACAACTTGGGAAATTTATCTGACATGGTAAATGTTTTCTGGATTAGGAGTTAAGGTATAGTTTGTTATTTAATAGATCACATTATAGTGGGTTAAAGAAAAGGGATACAACAGGAAGGGAAAACTAATGATGAGATCTTGGAGAAGTAATTTAATATTTTGGGCACTGGTTTTTCCCATGCACATGAGAATAAAACAAATACCCAACCTACGCATCATGGAACTGTTGTGAAATTATTTAAAACATACAAACAAATCACGAAGTATCATTAGTGGAAAAGTGAAGTCCAAAGCACCGAGGCAGGCTCAGAGTCTGCTGTCTGCACCCACCTACCTGTCCAATTGTCCTGCCCTGGGGCTTCCACTCCAGGTCAGCTCTTCAGTCTCTTCTTCTGAGGGGGCAGCAGGGGCAGCAGGAGGGGTGGGGATTGGGGAGCTGCTGGGAAAGGCACTGGGCAGGCTCATTGGCATCTGGAGGGATTCCATGCTCCTGTGCAGGCCTGAGAGTTTGGGATACATGCGGCTCTCCTTGGGGACACTGAAACCGCTCATGAGCTCCAGGCCCTGGGAGAAGCTGGCTGAGTTAATATTGAGGATGGGTGCTGGGCTGGGGGTGAAGCAAGAAGGGAGAGGACCTCCAGTTGCTGAGCTGGTAGCATGCAGATCTGGGACCTTTGAAGCAAGGGTGTCGCTGGATGTTGGAAGATCCAGACTGTTGGAGTTGACCTTGTCTAGATTGGCTAGTGAGGGGGGCTTGACAAAGCTCTTAGCTGTGGCCCTGGAAGAAGTAGAAAAAAAAATAAAGAAGGATGACAGAATTATAGGTAAGAGTCAAGCCGCTAGTTTCCTTGTCTACTGGCTATTTACTAGATACAGAGGTTAATCTTGATTCAGTTGAGAAATCAATTAGAAGATGTCATATATGATTTAGGGCACCTTTAATCGTGTGTGTGTGTGTGTGTGTGTTTGTGTGGGCGTGTACACACATTCCTGTAATGGGGCTTGAACTCAGGGCCTCACACTCACTTTACTTTTCTGCTCAAGACTGGCATTCTACCAGACTTAAGCCAACAACTGTAGTCTTAATTAGGAGCATAAAAGATGAACATGTATAAACAAACATAGTAAAGCCTACTCATACAGGTGCTAAAGAGAGGGTAAATGTTGACAGCAAATGGTATAAGCAATTAAGTTTTTATTATAGTTTTTTTTTTTTTTTTACTTTTTGTTTTTAATGCCATCACTGGGGCTTTGAACTCAGAGCCTTGTACTCTTTTTTTTTTTTTTTTGGGTCCGGTCGTGGGGCCTGAACTCTGGGCCTGAGCACTGTCCCTTAGCTCTTCAGCTCAAGGCTAGCACTCTACCACTTGAGCCACAGCGCCACTTCCGGCTTTTTTCTTTTTGCTTATGTGGTGCTGAGGAATTGAACCCAGGGCCTCATGCATGCAAGGCAAGTACTCTACCACTGAGCCACCTTCCCAGCCCCAGAGCCTTCTACTCTTGCTTGGCTTTTTCACTCAAAGCTGGCACTCTACCACTTGAACTGGTCAATTTTTTGCTGGTGAATTGGAGATAAGAGTCTCACAAACTTTCCTGCCCAGGCATTGCAAACCCTGAGTCTCACATCTCAGCATCCTGAGTACCTAAGGTTATAGACCCTTGAATTGTTTTGAATGAGGGAGCAGAAACTTGATATACCAGGGGCGGGAGATGAGGATAAAGACCCATGCAAAGGCTTAGAGACAAGAGTGGACAGTCCAGGCCATACTAAGTCTAAAAAGGATAGGGAGATGAAACAGAATAACAAATCAGAGCTGGGCACTCGTGGCTCACAGCTATCATCCTAGTTATTCAAGAAGCTGAGATCTGAGGTTCACAGACTGAAGCCAGCTGGGGCAGGAAAGTCTGTGAGACTTTTATCTCAAATAAACTACCAAAAAAGCTGGAAGTGGAACTTTGGCTCAAGTGGTAGAGGACTAGCCTTGAGCAAAGGAAGCTCAGGGACAGAGCCCTAAGATCAATATAGGAACAACAACAACAACAACAACAAATGAATAAATCAAGGAAACAAGGAGAAGCTCCCTAGTGTAGGTACCTGAGAGGGGTTGGTGGCAGCTCTGCTAACTTGGTGGCTGGAGGGTGGCTTGCTTGGTTCTTGGGTGTACTTTCTGGGGAGCCAATGCTCTTCAGGGAGATGTTGTCTGAGTCCAAGGCCACTGCCTTAGCCTTGGCCTTTTCCTTTTCCCGATCTGTCTGATTGACAGGAGCTGGAGTGGTCCGCCCACTGGCGACCTTGGAAGGCTCCTTCAGTCTGGAGGGTGTAAGACCTCCCTGCTTTGTGCTGAGGAGACTGGGGTCAATGCTGCTGCTCACAGGGCGAGGTCCACCCCGACCACCGGTCACACTCATAGAACTGGACTTAGCAGGCCTGGGCAGGCTGCGGTACTGGATGTTGGAACGAGCTCCAGGAGCCAGGAATCCAGGCTCTGCACTGTTGGACACATCCAGGCTAGTCTTGCGTCCATTTACCGGCTTGACAGGGATGCCTGAGGACTTCTGGATCTTGCTGAGAGTGGCTGAGCCACCTGTCTGCATGACTGTGGCTGTGCCTGTAGCAGGAGGAGGCTTCTTGTAGCCAAAGGATCCTGAAGTGGAGGGACGTGCGATGCCTGAGGGGGGTTTCTTAGCATCACTCAGGCGGTCCCGGCCAGCATCCGAGGAGGAGCGTTGTAACCCAGTATTCTTCACTGCCAGCTTACCCTTGTCTGTAGCTTTGCCTTCAGATTTGCCTGCAAGACGACAGGAAATGACATTAACAGGAGCCAAGATCTTAGAAGTCATTTTCTCTCTCTGCATGGGAGAAGGGAATGTTATTAGTGTAGAGAATTTTAGAGGCCTCCCATATGGGTGAGCAGACAGTGGATACGTGTCTTGCTAGAGGGACTCTGAGCGGGAGAGGTGAGGGGCTAAGCTTCTGCTCTGGTTTGTTTTTATTGTTGTTATGTTTTTCTGTTCTCAGAGTAGGATGGTCTGCTTTGGTTAAAATGGCAGAGGCAATCACAAAGATGACTGAGAAGGAAATGTGTCTAATAACTGGTCAAGAAAGGGAAAAAAGAGGGCTGGGAAGGTGGCTCAGTGGTAGAGTGCTTGCCTCATATGCATGAGGCCCTGGGTTCGATTCCTCAGCACCTTATAAAAAGAAAGGGAAAAAAGAACAGGGAGCAACGGAACAGGGTAGAACATATCTAGTGGCAATGAGAGAGTTGAAAGAAATGTTGACGAAGGCCACTAGTGATATAAGGGGCCAGTTTTGGGAGCAATGGAAATTGCTCACTCTTTTCATCTGATTTACTTTTCCTTAGGACAGTCCTGGAATGTCAAGGAATCATCTTATGAAGCTAAGTACACATGGGAAAGGAAAGAGTCTCTGAACAGAAGATATTCTCTACCTCTTCTACCTCTCATTAGTTGTATGATGGTAGCCCGACCGCTTGACCTTTTTTATTGTTCTGTTTTGGTTTTGTTTTGATGTGCCAGTACTGAAGCTTGAACTCAGGTCCTCATGTTCTTGTTTGGCTTTTTTTTTTTTTTGCTCAAGGCTAGTGCTCTACCATTTGGTCACACCTTCACTTCTGACTTCTGGCTGGTTAACTGTAGGTAAGTCTCTTGGATTTGTCTGCCAGACTGGATCCTCAGATCTCGGTCCCCTGAGTAGCTAGGATTACAGGTATAAGCCAGCAGCTTATACCTGGCTTGCTACTCGACCTCTTTAAAGTTTGTTTTCCTATCCGTAAAATGGAGCTAATAATACATATCTTCCCTAATTTAAGAGGACCATCACAAGATCAGATGAGAAAGCATTATGCAAACACTTGTTACCACTTCATGGATTAATAGCCTTGAGGAGGAAGAACCAAAGAACTAGGTCAATGCCCTTATCCCCTTCTTTATTTTGGGCTCACCTGCAACTTTGAGGGCACTCTGGGCTGTATGAGTGATGGGGGAGGTGACGGCCACTGGTGGGGTCTTGCCCTTCTTCAGGGACCCCGGATGTCCCAGGCTGATGGGCTTCTTCAGCTCTCCACCCTTGGACGAGTCGTCGCAGCTCTCAGGCCGCTCCCTCCGCCACTTAGAAGTCCCAGGCTCCATCTTCAGGCTGCCACTGTCGTACTCCAGTTTTTTCGGGGTTTTCTCCTCTGATTCACTAAACCAGCTCAGCCCACTTTCTGCCAGAGAGCGTTTCTCTGAGTCTGTGCGCAGCTAAGGAGAAGAGCAAGAGGCAGAGTGAGAAGAGCTAACCCAGGGGATTTAGTTTGGTCAGCAGGCAGCCCAGAGTATTATGTCAATCCAAGGTCTCTACCTACATGTCTAGGGGCTCCACAGAGAAGGTAACATGAGTCTCCCTGGGTTTCTTTTCTTTTCTTCTCCAGTTGGAAGAGCTCTTACCCATAACACTCCAGATAGGTGTGAACAAAGAACTATGACAACATTTACTGTCTTGGAAGCCTTAGCTTTTTTTCTTTTTCTTTGGCAGCTCCAAAAGAACTCGGCTAAAATCCTGTAGGATTTTAGGACTCCCATGGAGTGGGTGTGTATGTACAAACGCACACACAGCATTGCCCAGCTTGCCTTGAAGCTCATCATGTTTGCACACTCACGTACCACTACTGTGGAGTTCCTGCGAGAAGCAGTGGGAGTCGTTGGGAGGGAGTTGAGTGAGGAGCTGGCATTGAACTCCTCTGAGCTGAGGTTGTCCGAAGCATCACTGAGCCCACTGCTGAGGGAGCTGCTCTCGTCCCAGCTGCAGGATGGGAGAGAGAACACAGGGAACACAGAAGACAAGGTGAGAGATAGGCTTTCCATATTGATGGAAGAATGGTTTTAGATCTTTCTAGACCGTTCCTCCAGAAGAAACCTTGGGCTGTGCAATCTGGGTTTACCAATAATTCAAGCATGAATCACTGGCGCCTCTATACCACTTTCTTGTTCAATTCTTGTTTGCTATTTCACTGTTCTTTGCTGATCTATATTTAGCCTCCTAGAACCTTCCTTCAAAGGTTTTATATTCACTGTCTTTCCCTGAAAACTCCTTCAGCCTTCACTTCTGGTTTAGAACCTAAAATTGAACACAGGAGCATGTGTTCATACTTGTAGGAATTAATTTCTAAGTCCTCATCTCTGTGTTTAGAGCAGGCTTGTTTCTGAGCTTTGCATGTGTGCAAAGACTAAAGAGGCTAGAGATGATTTTGTGTGTGTGTGGGGGGGAGGGAGAATGAGCTGGTATTTGGAAAACTGTTCCTTTTTTTGATTTATTTTGAGTTTCAGATTATGGAACAAAAATCAGCCATACAAGTCATCTAAGAGCCTGGCCCAGAGTTCAGCTGGCCTCCCTCTAATTCCTGTGCTGGGAATAGGGAAGTGGGTGGTTTGGACATTTGGCTTTGCTTGCTCTGTAGTGATTTATTTGTATTTGTATAAATACACTGAGAAAGAGCAAAGAAAGCATGAGGATTAGAACACACTGAAGAGTTATTTAGATTTTATTACTATTAAATATAGCCATTATTAAATGACACCCAACCCTCCCCCAGGACATATGTTAAGTCTCTCTTTTGTGCAGGGCTAAAATATCACCTCCCCCATTTCACAAGAAGAGGAGATGGAAGGAAGATCAATGCTGATTTTATGATCCTATCAGCTCTTATGGGTCCAGATAAGATCTCTGGCGAGCAAACAAACAAACTATTCACAGCATGTTCTCTTAGGTCAAAGACAGAGGAAGTCTGTAGCACTGAATCTTTCATCTGAGATTAATTATCAGTAATCAAGGTCCTGGAACACAGTAAGCTCTTGCTACAGTCCAGACTTCCAAAATGAACCTTCCTTCGCTCTACATTATGGCAAGCATATAGTGCTGAAAGGCAGCCGGAGTTTATCTTCTTGGCGTTCAAGCCCTCCTGTTCCAAAATTCCTCCTAAGCTCTTTCCTGTGAGAAGAAAAGTATAAGCCTAGTATCAAAGGAGATTGGCCAGAGAATCTAAGGATTTCCTAGTGAAATTCTCTCCCATGTTCTAAATAAAAGGACAATTAAGTTGTTTTTACCTACAAGGGTAAGCATCTTCTTTGGTGCACTCCACTGGAAAGAACACACACGTGTGCTAGTACTAGAATCTGAACTCAGGGTCTGTGTGATGTCTCTTAGTTTTTTCACTAAAGGCTGGCACTCTACCACTTGAGCCACACCTCTAGTTTCTCAGTTTGTCTACTCAAGCTAGCTTTGAGCCCAGATCTTTAGATCTCAGTCTCCCAAATAGCTAAGGTGATAGATGTGAACCACCAGCACCCACTTACTTTCTATCTTAATTTTACCTTGTACCTAAGTTTTGTTTTGTTTTGTTTTGTTTGTTTTTTGCCAGTCCTGGGGCTTGAACTCAGGGCCTGGGCACTGTCCCCGATCTTCCTTTGCTTAAAGCTAGCTCTGTACCACTTGAGCCATAGTGTCACTTTCGACTTTTTCTGTTTATACTGAGGAAGCCAAGGCTTCATGCATGCTAGGCAAGCGCTCTTCTACTAAGCCACATTCCCAGCCCTTGTTTTGTTTCTAATGACAAGGACTCACCATATAATTCAGGCTAACCTGGAACTATGCAACATAGGCTGCCTTTGAACTTCTAATACTTATTTCTTGGCTTTCTGAGTGCTGGGATTACAAACCTGGGACACCACACCTGGCTCGAAGTGTTGTTTTTAATAGCATATCATTGTATCTTTCAAGGAGATAGTATCTTCATTCTCTAAGACATCCATCCATCCATCCATCCATCCATCCATCCATCCATCCATCCATCCATCCATCAATCCAGAAGGGCAGGATTACAATCTTTGCAGTTTGTGGTTCCCATTTGCTTTGTTCTGTTTGTAAACTGATGTTGCAGGCTTTCTAGTATGACAAATGATGTTTGGCTATTTGCTCCCATGTAAGATTAGGACATTCTCTATGTTACTAGAAACTCTACACATAGAGTAGGATCTGCTCACTATGGCTTTAGGATAAAGGGGAGGATTGGACTGATTCATTTAAATGTTTTCCTTCCTTCCTTCCTTCATTTCTTTCTTCTTTCTTTCTGTCTTTCTTTCTTCTTTCTTTCTGCTAGTCCTTGGGCTTGAACTCAGGGCCTGTCCCTGAGCTGTTTTTGCTCAAGGCTAGCATGTTAGCACTTGAGCCACAGCGCCACTTCTGGCCTTTTCTGTTATGTGGTGCTGAGGAATCAAACCCAGGGCCTCATACATATGAGGCAATCACTCTATCACTGAGCCACCTTCCCAGCCCAAGCAGTTACCTTTCTGAGAGTAATTGGAGGAGAGGATCCCAGAGTCTAGAGACTTTTTACATAAATGTTCAAACCGTTCTCCTGATTTTAGTTTTACTGCTATTTCCACAAAGGTATCTGATGCTGTCCCTGAGCTCTTTTGCTCAAGGCCAATTTGAGCCACAGCATCACTTTCGGTTTTCAAACTTTTTTGGTCAAACTTTTTGAGGTGTATAAGGTGTCAATATGAGTTGCTGCCAGTTTCTTCAACTGCTAGGCTTTGCATTTAGCTTTATGGTTAATAGATTAGTTCACACTTGTCATTCTGATTTTCAGCATCCCCAAATCTTATTATTCCTCTTTCTATGTAGCCAGGCAAAAGGAACGTCCTTTTTTTTTTTTGTATAATCAGCTACTGCAGAAAAGAAACTGAGTGAATGCTGCCCATTCTGAAACAATAGAAAGTCTTTGGAAAAGATTGCAGCATTTATCAGCTAGTGGATTGGAGCGCAGGGGTAAATGCCTAGTCACTGAGGTAGCAGGGAGAAAGAAAGGTAGCTTAAATATGGCACCAAAAAGAATAATAAGGAAGACAGGGCTCAGACTCATAGCAGGATATTACCTATGCTGTTTGCTAGAACGAACACTTTTATGTGTGTGTGTGCCAGTTCTGGGGCTTGGACTCTGGGCCTGAGCACTGTCCCTGAGCTTTCTCACTCTAGGCTGGTGCTCTACCACAGCTCCACTTCCAGCTTTTTGATGGTTAATTGGAGATGGGGTCTCATGGAGTTTCCTGACCAGGTTGGCGTCAAACCTCAATTCTCAGATCTCAGCCTCCTGAGTAGCTAGGATTACAAGTGTGTCCACGGGCACCCACGTAAGAAAGAATTTCCATGTTCACCCTAAGGTAGATTTCTTATCACCCTCCTATTTTTCTTTGTATTTTTTCTCACATCAATCTTTTTCTTTTTTTTTCTGCTTATGTGGTGCTGAGGAATCGAACCCAGGGCCTCAGGCATGCAAGGCAAGCACTCTACCACTGAGCCACCTTTCCAGCCCCTCACATCTATCTTACGTGCAGATAACAACTGGATAGCAACAAGTATGACCTAAATCTACTAGGACACAAAAGTAGAAGAGAACTCAAGAGACTTTTTCTTTTACAGTCTAATCTCTTCCTAAGTCCAAACAACAATCACTAACAGGAAGACATACCTGAGAGAAATGATGTACAAGTTTTTATTAGGGAGAATTTCTCAAAGAACTATGAGACCTTATCATTTGTATCTACCTTCAGAATAGAAGAGGAAATGAATATGATAAGCCTATGAAAGATGAGGTTAGATTCAAAGAGGCCAATGGAAATGAATTCCTTTGTCAGTGGAATTTTCCAGAGCAGAGCACTAAAACAGATTACACAGGTAAATGAAAGAATTTTCTCACAGGATATTTATTTGCCCATTTGCTGTTCTTCTATATCCCTTAATCCATCCTCCACAATTTACACTTTTCATTCCACTAACAGCATCCTCTTTTCTTCAACTTTTTCATCAAGAACTCTCACTTGTCAAGCACTAATGGCTCATACTTGTAATACTAGCTACTCAGGAGGCTAAGATCTGAGGATCTGAGTTCTAAGTCATCCCAGACAGAAAAGCCCACTTATCTCTAATTCATCCACAAAATGCCAGAAGTGGAGGTGTGGCTCAAGTGGTAGAAAGCCACCCGTGAGTGAAAAAGCCAAGTAAGAGGTGAAGAACCTGAATTCAAGCTTCAGTACTAACACAAAAAGATATCCGTGAACCACATGAACATAGTACAGAGAGTCAACTTACCTCCAGACCTAGAAAATTTGGTTTTAAGTGCTACTATCTAAAGTTAAATTCTATTTTGACTGGGCAAACAGCCAATGAGCATCTATTATTTATAAGGAATAGTGCCACTTGCATTAAAAAAAAAGAGAGAGAGCAGCTATCCAGAATGATCTTATAATTCAAATGTAGTGGAAAATTGGTAAATAAAACAAATAACACCCTGGAGATGTAGCTAGCATACATAAAGAATATAGAGAGGGAGTGATTTAATTCCCTGGTAAGATTGAAAAATATGTTTTTGTCAAGCTAGAATACTGATAAACCTAATGTTATCCCATCTCTCACTCCCAATTCCTGTGTCTCCAGGATTCCTATAAGATGACTGCTTTCTCACCCAATCTCTTTACAGAAATACAGGGCTATAGGAGGAGTTGGTCCCCTCATGACTGTGCAGTGGTCTGTGTGCTGCTGAAGATTCTGGCACCATCCCATACATTTGACATTAATGGACACAAATCCCATGTATCTTATGAGACATTTTTCTTTCTTTAAGGCCCAAGTCTTAAGGAAATACCCATCAAATACTAGAGCTGACACCTTTATGTATCCTTTAAGAATGACTGTAGTTTTGCTTCCTGGATACAACATTCACTGTGGGGTAAATTTATAAACATCCC